AAATAAAAAATGACATTTGGAAAATAAAGTAAATTTAAAAAAGTCAACTAACTGAAGTTTATCAGCTAGAAACACTTTTTTTTTTTAATAAAATAACTTATTTAAAATTATATATTTTAAACTCAAGTTATAAGTTCAACAAATGCACAAAAATGATTTAAATTTTTCATCAAAACTGTAAAGGAATATTTTTATAAATTAATATTATTATATTTATAAAATTTTATTTAAAAAAAATGTTATAAAAAAAAATAAAATTTTTGCTTATATAAAATTTGTGCTTAAAATTTCTAAACCTTTAGTTCTATAATCGAACTATATATTTCAAAATTTTTTTTGTTTCTTGTTTTTCATTCAACCGAACGTCGATTAAATAAAACATTTTTTTTTTAACAACTTAAAAATTTACCACCAGATTATTTAACGATTGAACTTTAGAGTTGTTATTTGACTTTTTTATGTGGTCAAAATATTTTCAAAATAATAAAAAATATATTTAAAATAATACTAAATTTTAAAAAAATTACTTAATCTAAAAAGTTTTACTATTAAATCTATCTTATGCAAAAAAATTTATCTATTATATTAATTAGTTATTAAAAAAAAATTTGAATGTAGATTCACCAAACAAAAGAGTTGCTGTTAGAGTAATTTAAAAAGTTAATTATTAAAAAGTTAATACTTTTAAAGCATGAAAATTATTTTAAACAACAAAAAAGAAAAAGTTCAATTCATGTTAGATCACCACATCTCTGAAAGTACTGTGCTAACTTGTTTCTCTGTGCAGCAGCTTTGTTCGTCAAAGTTTGCATTTAGGAGTTAAAGAGTTGAGAGAGGGTTGTAACCACAAAAAATAACCTCCTTAACTGTTGTGATCCTCTAAGCTTTAGGGAGGTGAATAACATTTAGAGAAAAATTTATTTGTGACACTATCCATTTAATTTGTTTTTGGCACTATTTGTTAAAATCATTTGCAAAATTTTTTATTCCGTTAACTACACTATTCATTAAATTCATTTAGGATTTTTTTCTTTCTGTTTTTATTCAATCAGAAATGTAACAATTTGTGAAAAAAATAGTTTTTGACATTCTTGAAAGGCAATGAAATAAAAAAACCTGGATAGATAATGTAAAATTTTTAATTTCAATTTAAAAGCATAATGTTGAAGAATATTTTGATACTTAAATAATCATTTAGATAAAAATGTATATTTTATTATTTATTTTTTTATATTAAAATAGGGTTTCTTAGTATACTATGATAAATATATCACTTTGTTAATGACCTAGGCCTAGGTTATTAACAAATTAAGACTAAAGTTAGAAAAAAATATATAAATCATCTATTAGGCTGGCGCAGATGTATTTTTAATACATTGTTTCCAGTTTAGGATGTTGAACACTGGATCTTCTTGACTCAATTCATGGGTTTTGCTTTTGTCTGTTTTTATGACTAGACAACTCATTCTATTATCTCCAAATAAGGGTACAGCTGTAAAACTCAGTTGTATGGTTCTTAGGCCGGCTGGTAGTCAGGTTTCCCAAACTCTGTGGTAGCTCTCAAAGAGGCTGATTCCATCAACAGCTAAAAAATATCAGAGTACTAACAGTGCCATGTTGCACATGGATGGTGTCCCTGTTTGTACTTTTGGTGTGCATTGCTAAGGCCACATTGGAGCCCTTTATTACGGTTTAGGGTTTATTAGTGGAAATAAGGCAATTGCTTGGGCTATAAAACAGTGTACTGAGTACTATCTATGTTTTGAGTCAAATTCTTTAAAAAATTTAAAAATGAATAAAGTAACAAAAACTATAAAACACAAAAACCACAGTCATCACTAAATTCGCTAAACCTATCATTCACCAATATTCGTGGTTTTCGAAGTAACTTTTTTTCTGTTGAGTCTTATCTCTTGCAAAGTTCACCAGACCTACTTGCTCTTTGTGAGACTAATTTGAGTTCAGCTGTCTCATCTTGTGATCTTAGTGTTGATGGTTATCTTCCTTTAATTCATAAAGACTCCAATAGTCACATGCTTGGCCTAGGCATTTACATTCGTAAGAATTCACCCAATTGTCAGGAAACTAGGTTTGAATCCACAGACTACTCTTTTATGTGCTTTTGTTTAGCACCACTTCACTCTATCACCTTTCTCTTTGTTCTATATCGCTCTCCCTCATCTCAAGACTGCACTCTTCTTGATGTTAATTCTGATTATATTGACCAAGCCCTCATTTTTTATCCATCAGCCAATATTGTTGTTGTCGGTGACTTTAATGTTCATCACACTGAATGGCTTGGCTCTAGTGTCAGTGACTCTGCAGACATTAAGGCCCACAACTTTTGTCTTGCTCAATCCCTAACTCAAATAGTCAACTTTCCAACTCGCTTTCCAGACAACCCAAATCATTTACCTTCTCTACTGGACTTATGTCTTGTTTCTGATCCTAGTCAGTGCTTAGTTTCTTCACACTCACCCTTAGGTGCTTCTGATCATGGTTTGGTCTCTCTCAAACTATTATCTCATTCTTCTTTACCATCAGAATCCCCCTATCATCGTACATCTTACAACTACCTTAAATCTGACTGGGACTCTTTCCGTGATTTTCTTCGTGATGGCCCCTGGGTAAAAATCTTTTGTCTCCCTGTTGACAAATGTGCTTCTTACATAACTTTGTGGATTCAGGCTATCATGGAATCCTTTATTCCCTCTCGACGATTCCAGGTCAAGCTTAACTCTTCTCCATGGTTTTCCTCACATTGTGCTGCTGCAATTCCCAATCAAAACCATTACTTCCATATCTATCAGCAAAACAATTCTCCAGAAAACAGGCGTCTGTTTATTACTGCTAGGAACCATTGTAAAAAGATTTTGTCTAATGCCATAGCCCGCTTTTCTCAGATCATAAAATCTCGTATTTCATCAAAAAAATTAGGCTCTCATGACTTCTGGAGAATCTTTAATAGTATCAATGATAAAGGCAAGTCTGTAATTCCACCTCTTTTGTATGGTTCAGACTTTGTCACCTCACCTAAAGACAAAGCTGAATTGTTTGCCAACTTTTCATCAATATCACCTCTTGATGCCACTAGTTGCGTTCTACCTGATATAGCTGTCAAACAGGTTGATCCATTGCTCGACATTCGTATCACTCCAGCTTCTGTATCTAAAGTGATTTCACGCTTAGACTCTTCTACAGCTTGCGGCCTGGACAACATACCTGTTATAGTCTTGCAGAAGTGTTCTCCGGAGCTGTCGTCTATCCTTTCAAAACTATTTAACAAGTGCTTATCAGAGTCTTGTTTTCCAGCCTGCTGGAAAGCAGCATCTATTATCCCTATTTTTGAAAATTCTGGAGAGCGATCCAATTCGTCTAACTACCGTCTCATTAGTCTTCTTCCTATCATAAGCAAGGTTTTTGAATCTTTAATTAACAAACACTTAATCTCTCATCTCGAATCTCATAACCTTCTTTCTGATCATCAATATGGATTTTGATCTTCTTGTTCTATGGCTGATTTGCTATCAGTAATAACCGATAGGTTTTATCGCGCATTAGATAAAGGTGGAGAGGTTAAGGCCTTTGCTCTTGACATTTCTAAAGCGCTTGATAAAGTTTGCCGTGCTGGTCTTCTCCATAAGCTTTCTTCTTACGGTGTATCTGGAAACATCTTTAAGATTATTGAATCCTTATTGAATCCTTTCAAATCATAGTATAAAAGTTGATGGACAGCACTCTTTTTCTTATTCTGTAACCTCAGGGGTTCCTTAAGGTTCAATCCTTGGCCCTACACTTTTTTTAATTAACATTAACGATCTTCCAGATATTCTCACATCTAAGGTGGCATTGTTCGCTGATGATACTACCATTTATTCTTGTCACGATAAGAAGCCAACTCCCTCTGATTGCTTGCAGGGGGCATCTGAGCTTGAAAAGGATCTCACTTCTGCTACAGCATGGGACTCACAGTGGCTGGTGAACTTTAACTCAGATAAAACTCAATTTTTTTCGGCCAATCGTTATCGCGATAGTTTAGACTTTCCTATATTTATGAACGGTAATGTACTCGATGAGTCTCCTACCCTTCATCTTCTAGGATTAACTCTTACTTCTGATCTTTCTTGGAAACCTTATATCAAATCCGTTGCAAATTTAGCATCTGCTAAAGTTGCTTCTCTTTATCGAGCTCGTCACTTTCTTACTCTGGATTCTATTCTCTATCTCTATAAATCTCAAATCCGGCCTTGTATGGAATACTGTTGCCATATCTGGGGCGGATCTTCTAATGATGCCCTTTCTCTTTTAGACAAGGTGCAAAAACGCATTGTAAACATAGTTGGACCTGCTCTTTCAGCCAACCTTCAACCTTTGTCACATCGCCGTAATGTTGCTTTTCTTTCTCTTTTCTACAAATACTATAATGGACACTGCTTGAAAGAGCTAGCGTCTCTTGTGCCATCTACTAAAATTCATTCTCGTTTTACTCAACTTAATTCATTCAACGAGTGTTACTCGTCATTCAATTAAGTCTCATCCTTTTTCTGTTACTGTTCCTAAGTGCTCCAAAAACTCTTATTTGTCTAGTTTTTTCCCTCGAACATCAGTTCTTTGGAATTCGCTTCCTTCATCTTGCTTTCCTGATTCATATAATTTGCAATCTTTTAAGTCGTCTGTCAATTGTTATCTTGCTCTACAATCTTCATCTTTTATCTTCCAGTAACTTCAATACTAATTAGTGGTTGCTTGCAGCTTTGTTGGAAGCGGAGGTAATTAAAAAAAAAAAAAAAAATACAAATAAACTTATATACTAAATATTATTTCTATCAACACCAATGACTGAATACTGAATATGGGTAAAACTAAATATGTGAAAAATTTAAATAATATATAAATAAACATTTTTAAAATAAAGTTATAAAAAATATTTATTTTGTATATTTTGTAAATTTTCTTTTATATTGGATTTTAAAAAATTTCTTTTGTTTTTTGTTGTAAAGAATTATCAAAAAAACGTCAGAAAAAACATAAAAAACATAAAAAGAAAAGAGATAAAGAAGAAGCAGAAGATATTGATGTAGTGACAGAGGATAAAGAAGTTACCCAAACATTGAAGCTTAAAATTCGATTTGGTGGAGAAACCCTTACTGCTAAGTAAAAAGTTATTATTTTTTATGACATCATTCTTTTTATTCATTTCTCTGCTGCACTAAACATCATTTTAAATATTTTAACCAGTTTAGTTTTAACCAATTAAGTTTTTAAGTAATCAAAACAATCTAAACGTTAAAAGCACAAATTTTGAAAAGCCTGATGTTAACTTATTATTTATTCTTAGTTTAAAAACTTATAATAATTTAAGATAATTTTTATATAAAATATAAGAATATTTAAGAAATACATAGTTATAAACAATTTGTGTGTGTAATCACTTTTAAAAGTCTTGGAGATAATTTAACATTTATTTAATAATTTATAAAAAAAATATTTTTTTCATTCATTTCTATAACAGGGGTGGTGCCACAAGTGGGTACTACAATAAAGTATTTATATATACATTTTTGTATTATTAAGGAATAAATCAGTATAAAGCTAATTATTTTTAATTATAATTGTATATAATAATTATTATATATAGTTATTATAAATGTTTTAAAAATAATTATATATAGTTATTATAAATTTATAATAATTTATTATAATTATTATAGTTATTATAAATGTTTTAAAAATAATTATATATAGTTATTATAAATGTTTTAATAATTATATATAGTTATTATAAATATTTTATTAATTATATATAGTTATTATAAATGTTTTATTAATTATATATAGTTATTATAAATGTTTTAATAATTATATATAGTTATTATAAATGTTTTAATAATTATATATAGTTATTATAAATGTTTTAAAAAATGCTTTAAGTTATTATTGATATTTATCAAAATATTGAACAAAATTCATTATGAATAAAAAATGTTTGTAAATAAGAAAAACGAATATTGTAGTATCAGTTTTTTAAATTTGTTTTGTTTTACTTGTTATTATAAGTGCTAGACTTGGACTTTAAAATTGTTGCAAAAATTTTTAGCTGAAAGACATCTAGAAGAACACCAAATACTGATCAATATCTTATTTTCACTTTCTGGTTTCCATTTCATCACTTTAAGATTTCTTTCAGATGTTTCCATTTTATCACTTCATTAACATTTTTTTCAGTTATTTCTGTTTCATCACTTGATTAACATTTTTTCAGATGTTTTGAAATTACTCAAAAAATCATTTACACAATGTTATCGTTCTAAAATTGTTGATGTAATTTAAAATTTTCAATGTTTGTCCTTTTTTTTCCTGTTTTTTTTTTTTATTATTGCTAAAACATTAGTTACCTAAATGATTATTTAAAATAGTTGAAAAAAAAAAAAAATCAAAATTATTTAAAAAAAAAAAATCAAAATTATTTAAAATAGTTGAAATTAAAAAATCAATAAAAAATCATTTTTATTGATTTTTTAAATTAATTATAGAGTTAATTCTAATTTTCTTTCTTTGATTATTCTATCAGTAAGTAATGATTTTAAATGCTTCCCTGTTTATTAAAAAAAAAAAAAATTTTAATAGTTGTGGAGATAACAATAACAAACTTTTTATTTTTCGACAAAAATGAAAAGTTTGTTAATGTTATATTATTTTATATTTTTATAATCATTTTTTATTACCTAAGCAACATGTTAAAAAAATAAGGGATTTATCTGGCATAATTTATTTATTATTTTTTTTTTTTGTGAAAACAATGAAAAATTTTTTCCATAATTTATTTTTGTGGTTTATTTCTGAACTTTAAAACACATGAAAAATATACTTTTATATACCCATTTTGATAAAATTGATGTTTTGTTGTTAAAAATATACTGAGACCCTTATCCACAATCTTGTAATACTTTTATAAACATTTAAAAAAATACCAAAATGAAACTTTTTGAACTTTACTCCCATAAATAAATCTTTATATATGGTTTTATTATTCAAGCCCAAATAAAAAGTAAAAAAACCATTAAAAAAAAGAAATAAAATCTTTTAAAGCAATGTGTTCTTTCATATCAAAAAAACAAGTAGAAAAAACAAAACAGAATGTTAAGCATACTATTGCGAGTAGCAAAGTTACTAGGTGTCAACTACTGCTAGAAATGTAATATTGCGAATGTCTCATTGTGACAAATGTCACATCACAGGATGATCACTGTGATGTGACAAATGTCACATCACAGGATCACAGGATACGGGTTAAAAAAGGTAAATTGTTAAAAAAAATAATTTGATAATTGTTTTCCATTGAAAAAAATTTTTTTTTTCAAACTTTAGCATAGAAATGATTGAAGTTGTAATTATAAATGTGATTATAAAAATTAAAACCCTATGACATCAAAGAATCAACATCTCTCTTGTTAATATCTTGAAAATTATGTTAACAATAAAAAAAATCTAAATTAACCTTCATAAATCTACATAAACATTTTTTACCTTGGATCTATGTTACCTTGAATCATCCCTGCATGTTATAAATATATTTTTATTCTTTGGTATTTATCATTTCCCAATTAAATTTTTTTCACTTAAATTCTTATCAGTTTAGTTCAGATTTTTTGTCACTGATAAATGCTTTTTTATTTTTCCAGATTAAAAGCTAAAAACGATAAAGGTAACTTTGTTGTATTTAAAGATTATTTTGTATTATTTATTTTGTTTATTTTAATATAGAAAATTCATATATATATTTTTTATATATTATGAAAATCATAAATAAATTTTTATCAACCTTGATCATTATCACTCTTTTTGATTAAAAATTTCTTTTACTTTTTAAACTTTAAAGGAAAAAAAAACTTGAAGGAAAAACTTAGTTAAAAGAAATTAAGGCTAAGTGGACCTTATACAATATTATTAAATAATATATAAATAATAATTGCTTATTTTTATTTTTTCTTGATTTTTTTTTAACAATGACCCTCCTGCTGGTAACTGTTAACTACTGATTAACTGAAACTACAATTAATCTGTTAACCTGTAATGTGTTCTTTTACCATGTAACACTTTTTGTTGAGTAAAGATTGTTTCTTATTAAAATACTCATCATAATAGATGTTTTACTCAGTATCTTGTGGAACGACTCTAGTTGTCAAACATTTTAGTCAAACTATGTTTTACCCACCTCTCTTAATATAATAGGCTGGCATAGATTTAAACCTGAGTTAAAGCGTTTTCTAGGGTTATAAACACTGATTTTTCTTGATTTTACTTATACTTTTTTGCTTTTATTTCTTTGAATAATGAAAATTGAATTATTGCTGTAATCTCCTATCAAAGGTTAAAACTCAGTTTAATTGTTCTGAAATCAACTGGTAGACAAATAATTCATTACCAGGTCATAAACATTATCAAAAAATCTTATTCATATTATTATTCATATTCAACTTTGTGTACTCAATGAAATGTTTTATATATACACATAATAAATTCACTGACTATGCAAAAATTTGTTGCCATGACACTAAGCTTCATTATTCTTAGATTACTGAATCTTGAAATTTAATTTAGAAATTATCTTCAAGAGATTTTTTAAAAATCTTGCTATAAACATTATTTCAAATGAATCTAATATAACTTCATTGAAAACTCAGAAAAATATGTTAATCTATTGATAGACATCCTATTCACTCCGACATTTGTTGTTAAAGTTCTTTTTCATAACTTCTGCATGTTGTGGTTTGGACAACATTTCTGTCTAGTAAAAAAAGACTTTTTTTCTCAGATATGTTATTTGATTTTGTACCTGGCTATTTTGTGGGGTAAGAAATCCAATAATCAAAAGCCGAAAAATTTATCATTAAATACTCATAACTATCAATTTAAAATTTTTATGTCATTTTTTATATACGCGATTTAGATTCTCAAAAACCCTTGTGGCCTTGGTTTATCTAAACATGGCTTTGCTGATATTGCTCATCCACCAAAAAGAACAATTTTAATGCAATTTTACATGACTAAAGTTAAAGCTTCAAATTGTTGTAGACTACAGACTGCACATTTATGACAACAGTTAAAGAATATGTTGTCTGATGCAATAAACTAGTTATCAGTTCTACAATTCAAAATGTCAAGCAAGATAACTAAGGTTTTTCAGAGACAAATCTTTTACGCTGGTTACTAACAATACAAGACTCTACTGAACAACATAAACAGCACAGACTTACACATTACACCTATACACCCTTATGCACATACAGCCTGTTTACATCGTTTGCACGCTTTTTGTTCTTTCATAGATAAACTATCTTTGTTTGAACTCATCCTTATTTAAATAATATTTTCTTTTAATAGATAATATGTGGTTGAAATGTTGATATAGATTTGTATGTTATCTATATGTGTTTATCATATGTGATTGACTTTTTCATTTAAGGATTCATATGTATATATAAATATATAAATATAAGAGCAATTCTTATAAACTAGTGGCTTTTGACATGTTTTGATTATGTATGTTTTTCCTTGTTATTTTGTTATGGTTTCAAAATTACATTTAATTCGGAGAGCAGAGAAAACTTTTCTTTTCGGAAATTTCGATTTAAATAAGGTCTCTAAGTTACTTTCTAATTCGGACCGTAGAGAAACATTTACTTTTCTGAAATTTCGATTTAGACATGGTCTTAAAGTTTCTTTTAGTTTAGACCGTAGAGAAAACTTCACTTTTTAACAATTTAGTTTCCCGCTTTGTACATCGCATCGTTTTTATATCACGACTTATATCATTGTTATATTATCCACAACTAATTTTTTAACCACTCATTTGGCTTAAAATTATCTGGTTTTATTAAAATATTTAGTTAGTCTTTTTCCAATATATATTATTTATCTCCTGATTCTCATATTATTACTGTTTACAAGAAACTTTCATGTTATATTATCTTGCATTCATTACTCAGCTTTGTTTTAATTTTCACATGCACTATTTTCATGTTTTTTTATTATTCAGAGAATATTTTTATATCCTACATCATATGTTTACATATATGCCGCTTACATTTTAAATGTTTTTGTGCAACGTTCTTTTTCGCTATCATATATTACTCAATTATTGTTATCATTTTGGGTTTTGCGGGTTGCTCATTTTCCTACACTTTTGATTGGTTATCATATTTCGAATGTTTATTTAAGGCTATTGTTGTTTTGTTGATAAAAAAAATTTTTTTAATGAGGTATACTTCTTTATGATTGATTATCTTAGGCTTGTTTATGCTAATAATACCTATTTGGTTTTATTTCTTAAAATAAATTTTTGAAATTTTTTTTATGTTTCTATTAGAATTTTAATTATTTTGTTTTCATGTTTTCTTTTGGTGGTATGATAAGTGTTTTATTTAGTTATTTTTATTTTTGTTTGTTTAGTAAATCTACACTTTTTATATTATATCATCAAAAAAATATTGGTGCTTTACAAATTCGGGGTTGGTTGGGTTTTGGCTATTTGTAGTGAATCCTTTTTTACTGCAGTATGGAATAGGCGTAAGTTGCGGGGTAAAGAGTGTGGCGATGACGTTTGTCTGACGGGATAAACTAGTTATAAATGCTGATCCTCATTGAAACGCCAGTAATAATAGACGCGACTCTGAGGAGATGTTTATTACTTAATCACTACACTAATTACGTTTACACATTAGCATTAATGTTTTTTTTCCATTGTTGTTAGCATATTTTTTATTTTGTGATTGGTTTTTTGTTTTATAAGTTTTTGTCTGGTGATGTATTTGTTGTATATCTTCGTTCATATTAGTGTTTATAAAACAATTTTTTTTTTCTTAATTATTATTATTATTTTTTTTTTATTGTTATAATTGTTGAGTACTGGTTTGGGTGTATAGCCTGTCTTATTTATTTTTAAATATTTCTTTATTAATCTTTATTTTTGTCTTGACAACTGTCAAAATACGCTTTGTCTAATAAATAATTCTCCTTTATTCTAATGTACTGTAATGTAAATTTCTTTCCTCAGGCGTTAACTTGTGTTCACTGCTTGTGTGTGACCATTCGACAAATTTAAATGCCAAAGTTTTTAAATAAAGAATATTTTTTTATGGAATATCATTCTTCAATAAAAAGTTTGTAAGCTTTTAATTAATAAGATTTATTGTATTATAATCATAATCATTAAAATCATTATTGTAAGTTATAATATTTAAGTAATATAATTACATTTTTTTCTCAGCATCTCTACATGTTATTACTATTTTTTTCTCAGCATCTCTACGTATCATTACCAATTAGTACTGTATGAGAAGCAGAAACTGCAGGTTCAAATCTTATAACCAGAAAAAAGTTGTTTCCAACCTATTGAAGTAGAATCATATTACTTTCATCAAATTAAACTAAAATTTTATCAAAATTATAAATAAGGTTTTATGTTAAATTTACATTTTTGACCATCAGGTGAGTTTTAAGTCTTTGTGCTTTTTCAAAAAAAAAACTTTTTATCTTTTTCATAAGAATAATACTCTGGGCAATAAACACAGTTGTATCTTTGCAAAAAATCCATCAAAAATTTGTTGCCTTGACACTAAGGTTCATTATTCTTAGATAACTGAATCTTGTAGTTTATTTCATAAATTATTTTCAAGAGACTTTTTTAAAATTTTGCTATAAACTTTTTTTCTAATAAATTTAATAACTATAACTTCATTGAAATTTCAAAAAAACATGTTCATCTATTAATAATTTAATATTGTTTTTCACATAATTTTTTTCACATCTTGGATTTCTGTGTTACAAAAAAAAAGACTTTAGAGATTGCTCTGACCTTTTTATCACATAATCATTTTATTTCTATCACATAGTCATTTTATTTTTATCACATAATCATTTTATTATTATTAGCATGACTTTTGAATCATTAATTACTTTTGAGTATCAAGTAGCTTCCATTCTTAGTTCAGTATTGTGATCATTAATCTAGTTACACTTATTTCAGAGATGAAGTTGTTTTTGTTATTAAAAAGTTTGCATTGAATATATTTAATATCTTTTTTACATAATCTCTTTTGCATCTTGAATATATTTAATCTCTTTTGCATCTTGTGACAACATTCTATCACAGCCTTACAAACAAAATACTTTTGATTCTGTTTTTTTTGTCACCCAATTATTTTATTAACGATTTTTGAATCATTAACTTCTGATAATCATGAGCCCAAAAGCTACTCTTTTACGGTCAACACAAACTTTGTTCCTTTTTTTTTTATACTACTGACTTGTTAACTGTCAAAGTTGCTTGTGATAAAGGTTTACCATAAAAGGTTTTAAAATTATTGAATAGTTCGTTATAAACTACAAGTTGTCTTTGATGAGCAACACTCTTTTTCATTTTCAGTAACTTTTGGATTATTAATCCGGTTCCATCTTTGGTTCTGTGTTAACCTAGTTACACTTCCTGAGATAAAATTGCTTTTATTGTTAAAAAGTTTGCATATTAGTCTTAAATTTATGCTGGATTTATGTTAAATTGTTAATTTTATAAAATAAGATTTTATTTAATTTAAGTTTTTAAAAAATATTATTGAAATATAGTTGTTTGATTCTTTTTGTGCTCGATATTCCAGATTTTGTAAAATATTTTTTGTTTTAGACTACTATTCATAAAATCTTGAGTTGTTTTTTGTTTCAGATTTTATTAAATTATTTTATTTAAAAAAAAAAAAATTTTTTTATGTTATTGAAGTAATTATTTTTTTATCAGATGATCTTTCAAAAAAAATAAAAAAACATCAAGAAGAAGAAGAAGAAGAGATGGAATCTAAAGAGTAAAGGATATTTTTAAATTTTACAAAAAAATTTATTTTAATAATATTATTTAAAATATAAAGCATAAAACAACAGCTGCATACAAACTAAATTTTTCTTTGTAATATTTCGATCTGTTTTTGCACAGATCATCAGACGTAAAATATAATACAAAAAACTGTAACAATGTTGTATGTTGCATAAGAATGTCAAAAATGACATTTAGTAGAAGAAATAATTACATAACAATTTAAATATAAAACTAGTAAATGTTATTTAATTTAATTTACTTTTTTAATAATTTTTTTAAACAGGTCTCCAACTGTTTGTAAATTTAAATGGTCTCTAACTGTCAAATAAACTCAAACAATCAAACATACCACTATGTTCTCTACCATGATTATTAGCCTCAGATGCATCCCATTACCTTTTAAATGTAAATAAATCTGTTACTGGGCAAATCTGTTATTCCTTCTCTCTTGCGTGGTTCAGTTTTGCTACCTTACCTAAAAACAAAGCTAAATTGCTTGCTAAGAACTTTTCATCAATCTCATCTCTTATTTAACTAATTAGTTCTTAGCAAGCAATTTAGCTTTGTAAGACCTCAAGCTTGTAAGCTTGTAAGCTACAATTTTGTAAGACCTCAAGCTGTAGAAGAGTAGAAGCTGAAGTGATATGAATGTCAAGCAATAGATCAACTTGTTTGTCAGCTATATCAGGTAGGATGTGATTAATCACATCCTACCTGATATAGCTGACAAACAAGTTGATCTATTGCTTGACATTCATATCACTTCAGCTTCTACTCTTCTACAGCTTGAGGTCTTACAAAATACCTGTTAAAGAAAAAAAATTCTGTTAAAGTGTTCTCGTCTATACTTTTAAAACATTTTTAAGATTATTGAATCTTTTCCCAATTTTATATAAAAGTTGTCCTCAATGGGCATAACTCTTTTTTATTTCCTGTAACTTCAGGGGCTTCTAAAGGTTCTATCCTTGACCCTATACTTATTATAATATACATTACCTAAATCTACCAGAAATCCTCACATCTAAGGTGGCATTGTTCGCTGATTATACTATTATTTATTTATTGTCTTAATAAGAAGCAAACAATCACTGATTACATGGAGGGGACAATTTTTTCAGCTAATTGTTATTGTAACAATCTAGATCTCAATGAGTCATCTACCATTCGTCTTCTAGGATTAACTCTTACATCTGATCTTTCTTGAAAACCACATATTAAATTCATTGCTAAATTAGCATCTTCTAAGGTTGCATGTCTTTATTGTACTTAAAACTTTCTTACTCTATTCTATTCTTTATCTCTATAAATCTCAAATTCTTTCTTGTATGGAATAGTTAGTTCGCAAAATTGCATTGTAAACATAGTTGGACCTGCTCTTGCAACCAACTTTCAACCATTGTCACATCGCTATAATGTTGCTTCTCTTTCTCTTTTCTATAAATACTATTTTGGACACTCCTCTAAAAAACTAGCGTCTCTTCTTCCATCTTCTAAAATTCATTCTTGTGTTACTTATTATTTAAGTCTTTTTACTGTGACTGTTTCTATGTGCTCCAAAAATTCTTGTTAGTATGTATATTTGTATAGTTTGGCACTTATGGGGACAGATTTTATAAAAAAAACACTTATGGGGACATTAGCATTATTGGGGACATTTTAGTGTACCCGTTAATTTTTTGTCCCCGTAAGCATGATTTTTTTTGTAAAAAATGTACCTGTAAGAAACTTTTATAGGGAACGAAAAGTACATACATCGACTGACAAATAGCCTGACTCACAAGACAGTGCTGCTACATCGACTGAGGGTTTGGTTTAGGGTTAGAGTTGCGGCAAGGTTTAAATTTGGTTATATTATTGTAATTAATGGTTTTTGTAAATAGATGAAGTTAAAAATGAAATATAATATAAAATGAATTAATAAAAATAACAAAAATTAAAAAAATATATATATTTTTATAATAAAATAATAAATTTAAATATGTGTAAATAAAAATAGAAATAAAATAAAAATTAAAAAAATATATATAAATATGATAAAAATAGTATAAAAAAAGTAAAAAAAACAACAGAATGAGAACAAAAATAACATGTCCCCGAATATCAGCAACTATGATGCTATATATATATATATATATATATATATATATATATATATATATATATATATATATATATATATATATGTATATATATATATATATATATATATATATATATATATATATATATATATATATATATATATATATATATATATATATATAGAGAGAGAGAGAGAGAGAGAGAGAGAGAGAGAGAGAGAGAGAGAGAGAAAGAGAGAGAGAGATGTAAGTCGTTTTTTTGGTTCTTGTTTTTTGCCAAAAAAAACCGAGGACTTCGTTTTTTGGTTTTTTTGGTTTTTTTGCGTTTTTGCTTTAAAAACTTTTCTTTTTGCATTTTAAACACTGAAATGGTTTTAAAATTTATTTTTGGTGATATTTATTAAATACTTGTTTTAATACTTCCATTTAAATTATTTTTAGTAATGTCTCAGTTTAGCAATTGTTCAATTATTCGAAAAAAAAAAAATTTGAAAAAGCAGCATTAATTAGAAAAACAATTTTTTTTTTTTTTTTTTATAATTTTTAATAATAATTCTTATAAGTAAAGACAAAGAAGTAAATTTTTATAAGTAAAGGCCATGAATTGTATCTTTTTTAATATTGAACTGTTTTAAGAATTTATTATATGAATGAAGTAACACTGCATCACAAAATAAGTCAGATCTGGGAATTTTTGGTGTGGGTGTGAGGGGGAATCAGGGCTTGTTAAAAATTTAGTTTATTTTGTATCACATTTTTGCCTACTAAAAAAAATTAAAAAAATTTAAAGATATTTTATAAATTTATAGATTCTGGTGCGGGGTGGTAGGTTCATACCTCTCATTTCCCCTGGATCTGTCACTGGTTTTAAAATTACAAAATTATTTTTCAACTTCTTCAACTTATGTTCATTAAATTTTTCATTAATTCATAAATTTTTTTTGAATAATAATAAATGTATTATTTAATGGAATGAATCAGAGTTATCTAAATAAATATTTTTATTATATAAAAGAAATATATTTATTATATAAAACACTGCTTTGCAAAATAAAAAAAGGTAATCATTTTCGTGTTTAATATAAGGAAAATAAATATTTTTTTAGAGGCAAAAATCTTGAAATTAAAAAAAAATATATAACTGTTTAGCCATTTTCCTAATCAAAAAGATAAATATTTTTATACCACTTTGGCTAAACACTCTGTTTACACAAAATTAGTAAACAAATATACCATAAGAGTTTAAAAAAAAATCCAAAAAAACCTACACTCAAACCAAAAAAACGCCAAAAAACCAAAAAAACCGAAAAAACACTTTTTTTTGGGTGAAAAAAACGCGACACGATATATATATATATATATATATATATATATATATATAATAATATAAATATATTTATATATATATATATATATGTATATATGTATATATGTATATATGTATATATATATATATATATATATATATATATATATATATATATATATATATATATATATATATATATGTATATATATATATATATATATATATATATATATATATATATATATATATATATATATATATATATATATATATATATATATATATATATATATATATATATATATATATATATATATATATATATATATATATATATATATATATATAGATATAGATATATATATATATGTATATATATATATATATATATGATATATATATATATATATATATATATATATATATATATATATATATATATATATATATATATATATATATATATATATATATATATATATTTATATATATATATATATAGACAACACAGGTAAAACCGTAAATGTCACATTTTTCTTATTTTGAGAAAAATGAAATTTAGTGTTTAGTGACATGAGATATCTTTTTATTAATAATTTATTTAATTAAAAGTATATTTTTCTACATTTTAGTCCTTACATAATATAAAAACACAAAATACAAGAATTATTTATTCACTGTTCTTTTGAAAACAAGACACTCATTTTGGACATCTGTGGTTTTTCCGTTGTAAACTGATCAACTCATAAATTACGTTAGCTTGAACCTTTTAGATCACTTATTTTTTTAAAGGTAGATAGTAACACATTGTAATATACATCTACAACGTACTTAGTGTGTGATGGGGTAATGAAGCCATGCCCCGTCCCCCTCTTTTAATAAAAAAAGTTCAAACAAAATATTATATAAAAGTTTTTTTTTAACTTTATACAAAATAACATTGCAACCTTATCTCTTACCCAACCTCATCTATTCACCACAGATGATTTCATGATGGCGATCACTTTATATCAAGTTTTTATAAACCATTTGTATGGTAACCATACATATGGTTTATACAAACTTGATTTGAAACCAATTCTGAAACAACCTTAACAAAAATGTTTTGTTTTTATTTTCAAAGAAAAATAAACTAAAAAAAAAGATAAAATAAGATCAAATAATGTCTTATTTTGTTCATTCAAAAACTGTTTAGCTTAAGTAAGTTTTTAGATTTTTAACAAAAACAGGCAACAGAGCTATGTATGCTTATTTCAGTTTATCAGGCACTTTGATCATTGATATAAAAATATGGGATGTAATACACATAAAATTAAATATTTCCACTTTTCAATATAATTAAACTTTAATATTTAAATTTCTCTAAGTGAACATGTATTAAATGAACAAACAACCAAGAAGTTTATATATATATATATGAGTCATCTGTCAATTGTTATCTTGCTCTACAATCTTTATCTTTTTTCTTCCAGTAACTTCCAACGCTAATTAATGGTTGGTTGCAGCCTTGTTGGAAGCAAAGATGTTTAAAAAAGAAAATCAAAATTACTGACTTTTTTATTTTCTGCTTTTTTCTTCTTTGTAAAATGAGCCTGTAAGAGTATAAGAGCCTGTAAGCCGTTCAGAGTATCATTCTCAAGAGATGATCTTCATTTTGTGGCAATGTTGCCTCTTGCTGAAAACCCACGCTCTAGTTTGACCCTTGTTGGCTTAAATGTTTTCAAATATTTGTAGGAATGTTACAAATATATTGCTACAATTTCCTCGTTCTTTGAAAACAGCCAACATTCTTACCTTGTTGTTACATTTCTTTTTTTTTCACTATTGCAAAGCCAAGCTTTTCTTTTAATGACAAGTTTATAGTGTTGTCAACAGAAATGGGAAATGTTATCAGGGGAAATGCTGGTGGAGGGGAGAGGATTATACACTTTCTGATTCAGCTGATCATTCAGTCAAGCAATGGTATTTAAAGTTTTTGATTTACTAAAGTGCTCAAAAGAGAGCACTGGATCCAAATTCTCAAAATATTGATGGCTCTTCACCAGATTATTGTAGTAAGCTGAAAAATGTTTTATGTTGCTTATTGAATTGTAGCACCAACGTAGCTAAATCGGTTTCTCCAAGATTATCTATCATGAACATCGGTTGACAACAGCGTTGCATTATTTCGGCACAATGCTTCCACAACCAATTTTACTGGCACAAGACATAAAGCAACAGCTTAAGTTGCATCAAACTCCTTATCATTTACCTTAACTTTGGACTCAATATTTGCAATTTTTAAAAATGTTTTTTAAAAATTGCAAATACAATTTTTAAAAAACATTTGAGCATTGTGTGCAAGTTACTCCAGCGAGTTTTGGAGTCTAGTATTAGTGGAAGGCGATAACAAATTTATCAATTTTGTATTTTTGAAGTATAATTTTTTGTCAAAGAATGACAAAACAATTTTACAAAGATGCGCTCTTTATTAATTAGCGGCCGCAAATTATCAATCAGTTCAATAGAGTCATTTTCTTCACTCATTACAATTTGAAACCTGACGGAAAAGTCTTCAACAGCATTTTTTTCAACAGCAGTTTTGTTTATTTTATACTCTCAATACAAGATGAACGAACGTTGTTTATCGTGACTGGAATTTGTAAATATTTCATTTACTTTTGTGTTTCATGTAAAGAAAGCGATGACATCGCTTGTCACACTCTATATATTTTTTATAATACCGGTATTAAGCCAAACCAATACCGGTATTTCGGTACTTGAAAAAGTCCGGTAATACTGGTGTTCCAGTATTGGTACTACCGGTGTTAGAAGCACTAATCAGAATAACCGAATTTAAATAAATTTGACAAATAAGCCATGTGGGTTAGAGTATTTTAATTCATTAACTTAATATGTTATTAATTACCTTGTTAATTTTTTTTTTTTTTTTTGTAAAGACATTTTTTTGTAGACAGTTAACTATAGATCCACCAAAATCTGTTAAAATTATTCTGGTGCATCTAGTTATATGAAAATGATTCCAGTGTATAGTGCATGGTGGTGCACCACTGAAACCACAGAATCAAAATGTTTTTTATATTACTATTTTTAATTGTACTTTATATTATCTTTTAGATCCATAAATAATAACTTTTATACTAAATTGTAAGTCTTGCTGCAAAAGCCCATTAAACATTTTCATAATCATCACTGATTAAAGACCAGATATTCAAAACATAGTCATTGTTTTATCTATATAGCAGTTTCAGTTTTGATTTGGTTTGTTTTTTCAGAATTAATACAACAGAATAAATACATTTTTTAGTAATCACAATGAAGAAGATTCGTTATTGGATGAAGAAGATTCATGGTTGGTTGCTATGGAAAAAGGGAATCTTGATAGTTATGGTGAAATAAAAAAGAATAAAGATCCAGCAGTAATGACTGCAAGACAAGTAAATTTTTATCATTTTTTCTAATTTATAGCCCTAATTAACAATTAATCTAAAAATAAAATCTAATTAACAACCAAGTACATTTTTTTAAAAGTTTTGTTTTATTTAAGCTCATTTGTTTGAGATAGGTTGTTAAATTTGCTAAACATACAATATAAACTTAAGTTTATATTGTTCGTTTAGTAAATAAAACTTAAGTTTATATTTATGTTGTCTTTCTTTTAATATTTATAAATGAATTTTCTTTTTAAAATGATCAATCCGAAAATTTTAGCTTTATAATGGCCAGAAAATTTCTAAATAATAATTTATTGCCAAACTTAATAGTGTTAGCAGTAGTGCTCATTTAAGCGTGTTTGACACAGAACCCTTGGCAGCCATTGAAGTAGTGGCGAGAAAGAGTTGCAGCACTTTGTTTTATAAAAAAACGTGAATGAAAGTGTATGCAAATATCTAACATACATAAACTTCAAATTAAAAAATGTTAAAACATTCATCAAGTTTTACAGTTTGATTTTCACTTGAAAATTTCATTGTGTCAAGCTCTCCTTTATTTTTGATCTATAACATTTATTTTCATTAAAAAAATCATTATATAGTTTTTAAAATTTTCATTTTACAAAGTGCCAGCTTGGTCGAGTGAATAAAACGCTGAGCTGCTGAACAAGTAAGCCATGGTTCAAGTCCTACCACTGGCAACTTTTTTTTTAATTTTTTTAGATTATTTTAAAATACAAAATACTTTTGAAGTTTTATAGAGATTATATAGAAACATATGTAGCAATATTATACAGTTTAAGAAACAAGAAAATAAATTTAAAAAACCTAAAATTTCTAAAAATACTAAAACAATGGGAGAAAAAATTTGTTGCGTATGTGTCATGATTGAGATTAATATTAATAACATAATAACTTATGTTATTAATATTAATATTTATGTAACATATTTATGTTATTAATGTGCTCAGGTAATTATTAGTCCTAATAAGCTGCGGATGGTCTGAAAAAAAGTTGTCTGAAACTTAATAAAAGTTTAATAAGACAGTCCTGCTACTCCAGAAGGTGCTGCTGTGGAGGCAAAAAAACAAAAAAACCGTAGCTAAAAAAAAATATAAAACTTTCTTTTGAAAATTAAAAGTTTTTTTTTGCTACATTTATTTTTTTACTATAAATATATGCTGCAGCCATTTTTCAAAACACCTTAAGATGCTTATAACGTATTTCAAGAAAAATGCAATTTAAACAAAATTGTTAGGTAAAATTCTTTGTAAAACATTTTTTGAAACAAATAATTTTTAGGATTTTCTTCAGAAAATATGTATTGAAAATATGTTTGTAGACATCTAAACTAGCTTAATTTCTAAAAAAGTCAAAATTGAATTTTTTTTCCTTAAGGCGTTTTGAAAAATGGCTGCAGTATGGATGATACAATAAATATGTTGATATGCAATAATTTGATGCAAAATTTAAAAGTTCTTAAATAAAACCACTGAGGCAAAAAAATTAAAAGTAATTGCAGTTTAGTGCACTTAAAAAATTAAAGTATAGAATATTGATGTTTGCAAAGAAACCATATATAAATTGTTTTTTTAATATATTATATAACTAATTTTTTTAAAACTTTGTTGTTTAGGCATTTTTAAACTTTTTTAGGTTTTTCGGTTAACCATCCCTATATAAACGATATATATAAACAAATATGTTATTTGTCTATGTATATTGTTTAAAAATGTAAAAAATTCACTTATGTAACGTTTTATTCAGGATTGTATGTAATATAAGTAAACTTTTCTAATAATTAAAAGTCTTTTTTTGCTCAAGCTGTTTTGCTTTGATTTTTTGTAGTTATGTTGTATTTAAAAAAATTGACAAGATTGAAAAAACACGAAACATATTGACATCCAAATAGAAAATTTGAAACTCGGATTTTAGATTTGCCCCACTCTTGATAATTTCTGATTGCTGAAATTATGTCATCTGCTTCTTAGACCTTTAAAAATGATAAACGAGACTTTTTCGTAAATTTTTTTCCTGCGTGACATCACTTTGTGGCGAAAAACTAGAAATAAGGTTTTATTTAAGTTTTTTAAAAAAATTCCTTCTATTAAAGATATATGGAATATATTTTTATGGGATATATACTAATAAAGAAAAAAACTATTTGTTTATTATTATTGTAATAAATACAAACTCTTATCCGTGAAATGATCTGTATCAATTTTATATCTTTTATACAATTATATGCAACATATTTAAAATTAATTAAAAAATGACATTTTTAAAACAAACGCAAAAGAAAGCTTGATGCATAAAGGTTTTATTTGCCACTAACTGATGTCAATGTACACATTTTTTTTTTTTGGCTTAACTTTTAGATTAGTGTTTAATATCGTTCTTTAATTTTTAATTATAAACTGGAATCAGGGATGTACTGGAATCAGTGATGCACTAGGTTTAGTGATATACTGGAATTCCGGCTGGAAATTTTGTCTTTTAGATCAATTCGTTTCTGGCTGGAATTAAAAAAAAAATTTTTACTTCTTTTTTATTTGCAGAAATAGTAGTACTGCATTACTTATTTTTACCTAGGTTTGCTTTGAGTTCTTTATTGCTCTGTAAGATAATGATTTATTTATTTATTTGCACAACCTGTGTCACATGTCATAAAAAAAACAAAACTGATGACAGCGCACTTAACCACTCAGCTATTAATGAAACACATTCAGCAGAAAAACAAACCTAATTATAAGTCTCTTATAAGCTCTATGTATGCGGAAAAGGTAAACAAGTTAAGTTTTCTGCTCTTGAATGTTTTTTTTCAGAATAAGGAATAGTAATATATAAAAAGAATCTGTGTGAAATAGATATTTATAGAAATGGTAGGTTTGGTAAAGACCAGTATTTTTCAGATCTGGAAAGCTAGGATATATAAGGAAAAAGTATAGAAAAGTTTGGTTTGGAATAGACTTACAAAGACCCGTATTTTTTTCGGGTCTAATCTCAGCTAGTTGTTAATAATATAGTTATTAATTTTTTAAAAAGATTTTTTGCATAATGAAAGGCTCCTTAGGTATTACACAGTATTATTAAACTATGTTTTTAAGCTTATTTAGAGATAACTTACAGAATTGCATAATTTTTCTCTAGACACAAAACCCTAAGTAGAGTCATAAAGATCCACCATTTTGTCATGTTAGGCAGGAAACAATGTAACTCATTTCTTTAGTTTTAGCTGAAGAAAAGAGCCTTAAAAGAACCTCAAGAGAACTCTGCAGTTTTTTTCTACCTAAGATCAGTTTTTTTTTAAATTGTGACACCATCTCTATCATTTACTCAACCGCGATACCCTTAAGAGGGGTGTATTAGGTTAGAGAGAGGTGTATTTTAATTCAAAGTTAACTTCTGCTATTCTTTGTTTTTTAAAGTAAGTTCTGCATTTTTATTTGGTATCAAATTTTTTTAAAGTTTTTTATAAATTCAGATTTAACTTGAAAAAATGAGATGTTGCAGGTTGTTGCAGATTGTTATTATATATATTATTTAGCTTTTTATATATTTTTATATATTTTTATATATTTTTATATATTGTATTTAGCGTGCTTTGAAAGGTGAAAGTGTTGAAGGTGAAATGGAACTTTTGCAATTACCAATGTGTAAGCTTTTAAAGTTTATTTTTTACTTAGTGTTTCTCATCAATAAAATTAAAAATTGAAATAAAAGACTAATTCAATTATATTTTTAATTGTTATGTTTTTTTTTTGTTTCTTAGATCCGGAACGAAGTGTGGAAGAAGTTGAAGAGATTGAAAGAAAAAGAAAGCTCAGAGCAAAAAAAAGGCGTCAAGATTCTAAACAAAAAATTGAAGAAACAAAGGTTTTTTTTCATTTGTTATTATTATTTTTAGTTTGTTTTGTATTTACTTAGTCTGTTTTGTTTTTTCTGTCCTTATTATATAACAAAATATAACTAAAATGTTAGGTAATGAATTAAATATAAATCAAAAACCTTATAGCTAAGGAAGTTATTATTAGTTATTATTAGAATCATTAATAAAGTTTAATGAAAATTAGTTTCACTTTAAATGCAATTGTTTAGCAACTACATTTTTAAATGCAACTTTAGTTGCAATTGTTGCAACAAAACTAAACTTCCTATTGTTACCATAGAAACAAACTTTGAGTCAAAATATATTCCAAACGTATTAAAAATTGTTATTCATATTTAACATCTACAAATAAATACTAGGGAGATAGAATACTAGGGAATAGAAAGAGAAGAAAAAGATTGTCCCAAAAAACTCTGTTTTGATATTTTATATTTAAATATTTTTTCATTATTAAAGACATACTTTGGTGTTCTGATAAATTTTGTATAGTTAAGTTTCAAAAAAGTTAGATATTAAGAAAAAGTCATTTAAAAATTGTGAAAATTAATGCCAAAAAAGTACCAAAAAAAATTGTTTTTTGCAAACTTATGCTATACACAAAATTACAAAATTATTTTGTTTTAGATTCAAACTATTGAAAAGTTGCTTACAAAAAGTAAAGTAAAGAAAGAAATTACCAAGGTACTAAAATTTAGTTTTTAACATTTACTTTACAGATATTTGTACCCGAGAAATTAAATTTTAGAACACAAAAAAACTTGGTGCTCATATGCGATATACATCTAATATAAATGGTTTTTTCATCTCACTATCGGAAGATGTTGAATTTCCTTTAATCAAGCAAGAAATGAGGTTTTTTTTTTTTTTACTATTATTTTTTTATTTATCTAATATGAAATATCTTAATATAAGTTACAATAATCTAAAGAGCAAAAAATATTAGTAATAAGCTTTAAAGAAACTAAAACACAAATAATCTTATTAGAACTTAGCAGCCGTGGTACAGTGGTAGCTCACTTGCCTTAAAAAAGTCTGTGGTTCAAACCCCACCTCTGGGCAAGTTTTGCAACATCGGTTGGGAAGGAGGCATAAACTTCCTATTAAGTGATACTACCACGATACTACCATTTATTTTTGTCACGATAAGAAGCCAACTCCCTCTGATTGCTTGCAGGGAGCATCTGAGCTTGAAAAGGATCTCACTTCTGCTACAGCATGGGGCTTACAGTGGCTGGTGAACTTTAATTCAGATAAAACTCAATTTTTTTCGGCCAATCGTTGCCGCAATAAGTTAGACCTTCCTATATTTATGAACGGTAATGTACTCCTACCCTTCATCTTCTAGGATTAACTCTTACTTCTGATCTTTATTGGAAACCTTATATCAAATCCGTTGCAAAATTAGCATCTGCTAAAGTTGCTTCTCTTTATCGAGCTCATCACTTTCTTACTCTGGATTATATTCTCTATCTCTATAAATCTCAAATCCGGCCTTGTATGGAATACTGTTGCCATATCTGGGGCAGATCTTCTAATGATGCCCTTTCTCTTTTAGACAAGGTGCAAAAACGCATTGAAAACATAGTTAGACCTGCTCTTGCAGCTAATCGTCAACCTCTGTCACATCGTCGTAATGTTGCTTCTCTTTCTCTTTTCTGCAAATACTATAATGGGCACTGCTTGAAAGAGCTAGCGTCTCTTGTGCCATCTACTAAAATTCATTTTCGTGTTACTTGTCATTCAATTAAGTCTCATCCTTTTTCTGTTACTGTTCCAAAGTGCTCAAAAAACTCTTATTCGTCTAGTTTTTTTCCTCGAACATCAGTTGGAATTTGCTTCCTTCATCTTGCTTTCCTGATTCATATAATTTGCAATTTTTTAAGTCATCAGTCAATTGTTATCTTGCTCTACAATCTTCATCTTTTTGGGGCTCCTAAAATCAACATTAAAAAAAAAAACAAAAAAAAAAACTAAAATAATTGGGAAAGAGGCGTAAACTAAACTAAAATAAAATCAAATATATTCTAAAAAGTTTTTATATGGAGGATGTTTACTTAAAGAACGTTAATATCAAGGATGTTTACATCAAGGATGTTTATAGCGAGAATGTTTATGTCAATAAAGTTTACATCTAGGATGTTTATTTAAGTATATTTAGTATATTAGTATTAATTACTAATCTAAAATAACTAAAATATAGTGATAATAATAAAAATAGCAATAATAATACAAAAGAAATTAGTTATTTTAAAAATATTAGTAATTATAAAAAAAGTTATAACTATTTTATTATCAGTAATTATAATAAAAATAACAATAATAGTAATATTAATAATAATAATAATATTAGAAATAAAAATAATATAAAAACTATAATTATAATAATAATAAGAACAATTATATTTATTAAAACAAAATAATCATGGTAATGAGAATAACAATAAAATTGTTTAATAAAAATTAAAATAAGAAAGCAAAATATGTTTGAAGTAGTAAAAAAAAGAAGAAGATTAGAGTAATTAAACTAAAATATATTTAAAGTAAAAGATATTTAAACAATTAAACGCAGTTAAAAAAAGAAGATTAGAGTAATTAAATTATTAGAAACTAATTATAATAAATTTATACAAAGATTTATAAATATTATTTTTGAAATTCTGATCTGTTTTAATTTTTGAGATTAGTTTAAGAATTCTTGGTTGGGAAAGAAGATGGTTCCATATTTTTAGTTGGGAAGGGACATGGTTCCATATTTTTAGTTGAGAAGGAAGGTGGTTCCATATTACTAGTTGTTAGACAGATGGTCCAGTATTTTTAGTTGGAATGGGCAAATGGTTTCGTATTTTTAGTTAGGAAGGGAGTAGGTTCCATATTTTTAGTTAGGAAGGGATATGGATTCGTATTTTTATGCTTTGATATCAAATGGATTCATATTCATAATGAAGTGCACAGTGCAATATTTTGTTACATAAAATTTAAAGTAGTTAACAGATTTTAGAATATAATTATAATTTCTCATGCAAAATAAAAAAAAAGTTGATACATGTAAGAGGTTGGTTATTATGACTTTGGCTCCAAACATATAGTCAATATAATAATTGAATAAGGTCGCATAGTTTAACATTAAATGACTAGATAATGTTTGAGTTTGAATTACTATTTTAAAAATAAATTATTTTTGATAGTTAGAAATGAGTTGGCCTTAAAGCAGCAAGCTGTCCCCAAGCTTAACAATAATATTTAAAATAAGCCTGAAAATCAGTATGATATATTTTAAGCAGATTTTATAATTGACAAAATGCTATATTTTACCTAATATTCTGTTTGGTCTGCTTAATTTTAAAATTAATTAGTTTAAGTCTTGATTTGTTGAAGCGCAGTCATTAAATAACATTAACAAGTTCATGATTTTTGTTAAAAAAATATTTGGTTAGTAAATGTTCGGTTAGTTTCATCTACCTAGTGTTTCAAAGAGTTTCATCTACAAAGTGTTTCAAAGAGTTTCATCTACAAAGTGTTTCAAAGAGTTTTATCTACAAAGTGTTTCAAAGAGTTTCATCTACAAAGTGTTTCAAAGAGTTTTATCTACAAAGTGTTTCAAAGAGTTTCATCTACAAAGTGTTTTAAAGAGTTTCATCTACAAAGTGTTTTAAAGAGTTTCATCTACAAAGTGTTTCAAAGAGTTTCATCTACAAAGTGATAAGTAGTAGAAAAATAAATTAATAATTAAAAATATTTAGACAATAAACATTAAATCTATAATAGGAAACTATTTTAGAATAAATTAATAATTTAACATTTAAACATTAAATCTATAATAGGTAAACTGTTATAAAATAAATTAATAATTAGAAATAGTTGAACATTAAATATTAAATCTATAATAACAAAAATCTATAAGGAAAACTGTTTTTGCAATTCAATTAGTAAGCAATTCTGTATAAGCAATGCAATATTTACTACTATCAAAACAACAGTTCTTTTGCAATTGTACACAAAAGAACTGTTGTTTTGATTGTTCTTTGTTTTTAATTTTGGTTGTCATCTTAATAAAAAGAATTATGTGATTAATCATCATTTTCTCCAGCATCGTTTTCCATTTCTCCTTTACTCTCCTCTAATTCATTGTTTTCTTCTTGGTACGTTTTTAAACATTTAAAATCACTTTCTATTCTGTCGCCATACAACCAACACTCAAAGTATTTTTGCTTGCCAATTTTTTTTATTTTAATATTGTAAAATGCAATAATAAAAGAATGTTTATCAAATGTTTCATTGTTACTCATCAATTTAGCATGTAAAATTTGAAAATATTTGTTTGTGTTTTCCTCTGCAAAATACTGGCCATTAAAAATGCCACAGTAGAATATGCGTTTGTATTCTTCTTGTAGGAACACTGTACTATCTAATGGTCCAGGGGCTTCGCATGAAAAATGTTTTGATATAAACATTGAAACTGTTGTCTTGTTTGTCTCAATTAAATTGCTATTAAGGTTTAGTTTCGCATTAAATTCATTTGAACAAGTTCTTTTCATTGTTACAATGCAAGGTTTTGGTAGTACCCATTTTTTTTGATTTTTGCCTAAATAAAAATGTATTAAAATAGTATTACTGATAGTTACTGATGCTCGATTACATATATATATATATATATATATATATATATATATATATATATATATATATATATATATATATATATATATATATATATATATATATATATATATATATATATATATATATATATATATATATATAAATTAGTAGAAAATCACTTAGCAAAATTTTTTCTCATTTAACACTGTTTCATCAATAAAGACTCATCAGAAATGAATGATCAAATTAATAAAACTTCAATTTATACCAAAAATTAATTTACAGGAAGTCACATGTCTTAACTACTGCAATTTTTCACACATCTGTGTAATTTGCTGACACTATTGTAAAAAGAATTCTTTAGAAATGATTATTTAAGCTTTTTTAAAAAATAATATATTTTCTTTTTTTCAAAGGGGAGTTAATGTAACTATTATTTGAGCTCACTTATATTTATAGTTTTTTAGGAGAAACTTATTTTCGTGCCTGCATTTAGAAATCAATTCCGATTTTTTGTTTAATAAACATTCTTGGTTTGTATGTGTAATTATTTAAAATTTTTCTTGTAGACATAGTATGCATTTTTTGGAAATATTGTTATATTTTATATGTTTGTGGAAACATTTTTGCTATATGGGGGGTTGAACCAAATTATATCTAGTTCTATTTCGCTTTTTTGTATTCTTTTTTTAGGGTCAAATTTTAATTCAAAGTTTTCAAAACCACTTTAAGGGCATCTTCAAATATCTGTTTGGAGGAATTGAATACATTTTCATCAGAGGAGTTTTGGTTAAACAGTTTTAATGAAACAGTGTTAAATGAGAAAAAATTTTGCTAAGTTATTTTCTACTAATTTGTAATTGCTCTGTTCTTTTAAGAACATTGAGCACTCTTTTTGTAGAATACATTTTAAATTGTTTAAATATATATATATATATATATATATATATATATATATATATATATATATATATATATATATATATATATATATATATATATATATATATATATATATATATATATATATATATATATATATATATATATATATATTATTTATAAATAAAACTGCATATTTTTCACAACTATTAGTTTCATGCTAAATGCAATCATCAGGTGTAAATATGTTTTTTTTCTCATAAATATATATATATATATATATATATATATTTATATACTTTTAACAACTTTGTTTCCAACAAGGCTGCAAGCAACCTCTAATTAGTGTTGGAAGTTACTGGAAGAAAAAAGATTAAGATTGTAGAGCAATATAAAGATTGACAGATGACTTAAAAGATTGCAAATTATATGAATTGGGAAAGCTAGATAAAGGAGGCGAATTCCGAAGAACTGATGTATGAATGAATGAATAATGTATGTATGTATGAATAATGTATGATGAAGATATGGCAACAATATTCCATACAAGACCTGATTTGAGATTTATAGAGATAGAGAATAGAATCCAGAGGAAAAAAGTGTCGAGGTCGATAAAGAAATGCAACTTTAGCAGATACTAATTTTGAAATGACTCATCAAATACACTACCGTTCATAAATATAGGAAGGTCTAAATTATTGCGATAACGATTGGCTGAAACAAATTGAGTTTTATCTAAATTAAAGTTTAACAGCCACTTTGAGCTCCATGCTGTAACAGAAGTGAGATCCTTTTCAAGCTCAAATGCCCCTCCAAGCAATCAGAGGGTGTTGGCTTCTTATCTTGATAAGAGTAAAATGGTAGTATCATCAGGGAACAATGCCACCTTAGATGTGAGAATATCTGGAAGATCGTTAATTAAATTAAACAGAGTATAGGACCAAGGATTAAATCTTGAGGAACTGCTGAGGTTACAGAATAGGAAGAAGAGTGCTGTCTATCAAGGATCAACTTTTATACTACAATTGGAAAGAAAGGATTCAATAATCTTATAGATGTTTCCAGATACACCGTAAGAAGAAAGTTTATGGAGAAGACCAGCATGCCAAACTTTATCAAACATTTTAAAAATGTCAAGAGCAATGGTCTTAACCTTTCCACGTTTATCTAATGCACAATAAAACCTATCGGTTATTATTGTTAGCAAATCAGCCGTAGATGAGAAGATCAAAATCCATATTGATGATCAGAAAGAAGGTTATGAGATTCGAGATGAGAAATTAAGTGTTTGTTAATTAAAGATTCAAAAACCTTGCTTATGATAGGAAGAAGACTAATGGGACGGTAGTTAGATGAATCAGATCGCTCTCCAGAATTTTTAAAAATAGGGATAACAGATGCTGCTTTCCAGCAGGCTGGAAAACAAGACTCTGATAAGCACTTGTTAAATTTTTTATTTTTATTTTAATTCACCTCCTCAAGGCCGAGAAGGCCACTACAGACGAGGAGGCTACTTATTTGTGGCTATAACCCTCTCTCAACTCTATAACTCCGAAACACGAACCTTGACGAACAAGGCCGCTGCGCGGAGAAACGAGTTGAGCGCGGTACTACCAGGGACGTGGTGGGGATCGAACTCGGAACCACTCGTTTATGAAGCGAGCGCTCTACCACTACACCACTACCGCAAATAGTTTTGAAAGGATAGACAACAGCTCCGGAGAACACTTCTGCAAGACTATAACAGGTATGTTGTTCGGGCCGCAAGCTGTAGAAAAGTCTAAGCGGGAAATCACTTTAGATACAGAAGCTGGAGTGATACGAATGTCGAGCAATGGATCAACCTGTTTGACGGCTATATCAGGTAGAATGCAAGTAGTGGCATCAAGAGATGATATTGATGAAAAGTTTTTAGGAAATAATTCAGCTTTATCTTTAGGTGAGGTGACAAAGTCTGAAACATAGGTAAGAGTTGGAATTACAGACTTGTATATATTATTGATACTATTAAATATTTTCCAGAAGTTACAAGAGCCTAGTTTTTGTGATGAAATATGAGGTTTAATGACCTGAGAATAGCGGGTATTGGCGTTAGACAAAACCTTTTTACAATAGTTCCTAGCAGTAATAAACAGACACCTGTTTTCTGGAGAATTATTTTACTGATAGATATGGAAATAATGGTTTTGATTGGCAATTGCAGCAGCACCATGTGAGGAAAACCATGGAGAAGAGTGAGGCTTGTATTTTTAATACAACAATGTATTAAAAATACTTCTGCGCCAGCCTAATAGATGAAGAAGGGGTGCAAGGCTGGGCATCAGATATAATCTATTTACACAATAAGTCTTTGCCTAGGAGGTTTTCTACAAGAGAGCAGCTGGATGCATTTAACATCAGCCCAAGATGAGTATTTTTATCAAAACAACATCTCTAGCCTTTACTTAACCAAGAGCCATAAGGCAGGGGGTGTTTTATGTTGTAGTTGGCATCCTCTAGCCTTTGCCTAAAAAGGCATACAGGACATGAAACAGATTGTACTGGGTTTATCAAGGCAGCAGGACATGAAACAGATTGTACTGGGTTACATAATAAAAGTAGCAGAGTAACCTGACTTGACATTGATTCAAGGTTACAAGAGATGTGAAGTGGAAGTTTGTGAATGCATTTTAGGTTTAGTCTTATATATATATATATATATATATATATATATATATATATATATATATATATATATATATATATATATATATATATTTATATGTATATGTATATATATACATATTTTTTTATTTTTTTTTTGTTAATTCACGATCTCAAGGCCGAGAAGGCCACTACAAACGAGGAAGCTACTTATTTGTGGTTATAACCCTCTCTCAACTCTATAACTCCGAAACACGAACCTTGACAAACAAGGCCGCTGCGCGAAGAAACGAGTTGAGTCTTTGCATGGTAGTCACAAAGTGTTTCCTATAAACTGTTGTTTTAAAAAGTGCGTTAATAAGCATGACCAGAAAATGTTAAAAAACATCCAAAAAAATTTTTTTTTTAATGATAGACTGCCTGCCAAAACCGAACCCTCAATGTAGCAGCTCTCCCTTGCGAGTCAGGCTATTTGTCAGTCAATGTAACAGCACTCCCATGCGAATCAGGCTATTTGTCAGTCGATGTAGCAGCACTCCTTTGCGAGTCAGGCTATTTGTCAGTCGATGTAACAGCACTTCGTTGCAAGTCGGGCTAAAAGATAGTCGATGTAGCATTACTCCCTTTTAGCAGCAGGCTATTAGATAGTCGATGTAACAACGCTAACGCATGTTTTAAAAATGTTTTTTATTAAAGCAAAAATAAAAACACCACTAATTTAAAAAAACTTTCTAGTCATTATTATTGCAGTTTTTTTAAAAAACAATAAAATTTAATGTACTTCCGCATTAAATTAATGCTTTGACATTTTGATGGCAATCAAATACAGCTTAAGAGGCGAGGTAATAAAAGTTGTAGTCAAAGAGACTTTTTTATACCATAAAAGTCTCTTTCGACTACACTATAAGGATATATATATATATATATATATATATATATATATATATATATATATATATATATATATATATATATATATGGTTAAAATTCAATAAATACAGCCGCGTATAAACTTTTTTAATATATATTGATTTTTTCTTTAATATATTTATATATATGTATATATATATATATATATATATATATATATATATATATATATATATATATATATATATATATATATATATATATATATATATATATATATATATATGGTTAAAATTCAATAAATACAGCCGCGTATAAACTTTTTTAATATATATTGATTTTTTCTTTAATATATTTATATATATGTATATGTATATATATATATATATATATATATATATATATATATATATATATATATATATATATATATATATATATATATATATATATATATATATATATATATATATATATATATGGTTAAAATTCAATAAATACGGTTGGGTATAAACTTTTTTAAATATATATATATTTTTTTAATATATAATTATTTCAATATTTCGCTGATCTATTGTGATCATTGTC